AACAAAACACATTTGACTTCACAGTTCTAAAAAACTAAGGTCATGCAACATAGAAGGGTTTCCTAAGAAAGAAACTGCTTCAAAGTGCTTTTCTTCAATTAAAGACATTTATACTTCAGAGCAACAGTCCTCAAAGTGTGGTCCACCTGCATACATCAGCAATACCTGAGGTGCTGATGAAAATACAGTGCTGATTCAGTGAGTCTTAGCTGGGCCCCTTGTATCTGTGTCTTAAGCATTGAGGGAATCCTGAGTTTTATATATACACTAGAATTTGAGTATCTGTACTATAGGATACACTCAGACGGTTTGATAAAAACTCTAAGTATATGCAAAATTATCTGGTTTGATAGCCAAATGACATCAAACCATTTCAAAAGAAAGAGTTTTTTTGGTTAAACATATATCTACTATTTTACTTTGTGGAGACTGACAGTGTTAAACACACATAATTCTTTCAAAATCTTCTGTTCTTCATAGTTCAAAAAATTACCATTGGCTATCAAAACTAAATTGCCCAAAGCAACATCAATTTTCTTTGAATTCTGGCTTTTTAAAAGGGATGAACAAAGAGGCCTGAATAAAATACTGTCTTGTGATATTTCTGTCGCGGAAAAATGTGTTACAGCTCGGTGTTACAGCTCAGTTGTGACAGCAACCTGGATCCAGGCTAGAGACCAAGCAGCACTTGGAGAGTTGGAGAACTCAGGTTTATTATGCCAGCAGGCCCAGAGGAGTTAGCACTCCAAGTTTTTATAGGCTGCCAGTTTTACACTTTGCAACATCATACGCAAATAAAGTGTAACAGAAGTTGACCAACCAGGAACAAGCTTTGTAGAACTAGACCAATCAGGAGTGAGAGAAATAACCAACCAGGAGTGAGCTCCATGCAACTGAAGTACTACAAATGGACCAATCAGGGAAGTGGACCAACCAGAAGTGAGAGTAATAACCAATCAGGAGTGAAGGAAATAACCAATCAGAAGTGAGCTCAGGGAACCAATAGAATTTTAGGGGTAAGTAAGCCGTTTTCAGAGGCAAAAAGTGTGATAGAGACTCTGGGCCAGGGAACAGGATGGTGCCCACAAGAGAGTAGTGGCCCTGCTTGGGGGTCCTGCTGGTCTTTGTATGGGGCTTCCCGCCTCATTTCTATCATTTCTTAATCGTACTTTCAGGAGTCAGGATGTCTGTGGTTTCTGGTGGTCCATGGCTTTGGGATGTGTTCGCTCATCTTGCCCTAGAGATACAACCTGAGACTGTACATTAATGATGATCTCTAACAGCAAGTGCAGCCATCTGACTCTGGTTGATTAGTGTTCAGTTAGCTCTGGATTGAGGTCAGAGGGGACAAGACTGTCCTAGATATCAGGCATAATAATAACAGCTAACAATTTTGGAGGGCAATGTACCAAGCATTGTACTAAATACATTTTAATGTGTTAACTCATTTAATCCTGAGGGAGGTTAGTATTATTATCCTGATTTTAAAGATTAAAAAAAATCCTAAGGAACAGACAGGTTAAGTAACTGTGTGAGGTCACAGAGCCAGTAAGTGACAGAGCCTGGCAGAGTTTGTATACATAAACAATACATTACGTTGCCCTAACAATAAGCAGTTAGAAAATGTAATAGGTCACAAGAGCTCATTCACAAAACAATGAAGAATCGTTAAAAACAAACAAAAATCAAAATGAAACACACAAACAAAAATCCTAGCAATAAATATAACCAAAAAAGTTACATTTTTAGAAATTTAAAACAAGACTAGATGAGAAGACTCAATATTACATTAAATGGCTGTCAATTCTCCAAAATAACAAAGAAATGGGGTGGGGGGTGAAAAAATAAGTGAGTAAGCCTCGTCCTCCAGATAGTCTTGTCCTCCAGGCAGTCACTAAGGAAATTACTGGAAGCTTGAACTGCCATGTGCTCCATTCACACAAAGGTAGCTCAAATCCAGCAATCTGGCTCAGCTACTTTGAGAAAAAGGCATAAGGAGGTGTCAAACAATGCACGTCACAAAATGAAGCGTTCTGCTCCACTGCCACCCAGGAACCCAGGCATCAGCAGGACAGCCTGGTCAGCATTCATTCACTAAGGTGTGGTCAGGACAACATTTAGCCACTGTTTTCCTGGTAAAGATAGCAATGCAGGTTATAATTCTCTAGCTACACAGAAATAAAAGAGCCTTCCCTGAATCTCAAAGTGCATGAAAGGGGTTAACAGATCAGGCCACTGTGATATCCTTCTGTTCACACCAACATTGTTGAGCTGAAGTCAACCAAGATAGTCTCCAATCCAGCTCTATGTACAGATAAGGAAACTGAGGTCTAGAACCGCTTGGCCTCCCAGATCACAAAACTATTTTAAACCAGAACCAGAGAGCTAACTACCCCCTTTCCCCAAGTTTCCTGATGGCCAGTCTCAAGCTGCACATCCAAAGTACTGCAACCTATTTATAGATTAAACCAGCATTTCCCAACCTTCAGACATCCTCCTTCTAGCATCACGATTTCACCATACTATGTATTATGTCTACTACTATTGACTTTGTACTTTCTTTGAATATACTTCTTTTTTCATAGATTAACTAGGGCTTCATTCTAAGCAACAATACCCAGTCAATCATGAATGAGATGTGTATTTTTTCTCACACATCAAAATAAGTATGTCTCTACTGAAATTATTATGTTTGTCTCTAAACTACTCAGAAAAATAAATCATCCTTTGCCATATTTGGAAAGATCTTCCACATGTGTTCCAACAAATTCTGATCTGTTTCATGTTAATAGGTGTTAGTGATAAAAGAGCAAGATCAAATAAATCTAGGGCAGGCTAACTAAAATGAAGTTAAACAGTTTTGAAATTTTTTCATGATTGGATATCTCAGGGCCTTTCATAAAGCATGCAATGAGACTTTCTAAGGGGGAAACATAGTGCAGTATTTCCAAAATTTATCTATGAAACCATTTCTTCTAGGCAGAATCAATGTTGAAAATATGTTCTAAGTTCTATTTATTTTCATAAGGCAACAGGTTTTCTTTCTAAGCCCATAAATTATAAAAACAGATAGTGTATATAATAATTTACCCTGTATTCCTATGAGCATATTTAGAATATTTTTATGGTTGAAAGAAAGAATGGGTAGAAAATCTTACTCCCTCTTGCCATTTCAAAGAGTCAGTCTCTTGGGGAAAGGTAACTCACCTTGTTTATACTGAAACCCGACAGTGATACTGGGCATTCTAAAAGAAAACAAATCACTTCTAATAAGTCATCCAAATCTCCTACATTTCTGATAGTACTTGATGACACATAGGCTTTTTATGAAGGTTTGTTTTTGTTGCCTTGGGGACTTCTAGGTGGAACTTTCAAGAGTGACAGGCCTGTAACATCATCACCTCGGTCTGTGACTGTGTGAAAAGGTGTAACTGATTTACCATCCAGGCATTTTCTCTCTCTCTCTCTCTCTCTCTCTCTCACTCTGTCTCTCTGTCTCTCCTGGTCTTTCCCTTCCTTCCTCCTTCCTTTCTCTCTTCTCCACCCTTCCTCCTTTCAAATGCTTTGCTATAAAAAACCAAAAAGGATTTTTCGTCTTTAGGCATTTTTAAGTAGTTGTCTTTTCATGGGGAAAACATCCCATAGTTACTAAATGAATCCTTTAAAGCCAAAGTGTATAAACATTTCTTCCTATTGCATTTTCAAATAAAATTAAGAACTAAGATTCAAGGCAAAGAAAATGCTGTCATACCGTTCTTCAGTATTCCTGTTAATGAAATTAAGCATTCCATTAGTAAGGAGGCATGCTGAACTGTTAAGAACAAGATGTTCCTTCATTCCACTGTGCACCAAGTCACAGACCATCCTGAGTATATTACTCTTAAATACTTATTTTTTTCCCAACAACCAAAATTTCAATATAGCCTTCCTCCACACCTGACGGAGGTTATTAAATTATCGAGTGAATTTTTAGCCTATGGAATGCTTTTTATGTTCTCACTCAAAAATATTTATTAACTAGAAAGTTACGTTCTTCTGAGGTTCCTCACCGAACACTGGAGTCAGGAAAACATGCAGAAAAACAATTCAGCTCTTGTGAGAGTCCACTAATGCACTGCAACAGAATCAGCTCAAATACACTCAATTCTCTGAAATATTTAAAGCAGATACAAACAGAGTAAAAATTGAGTTTTCTCCTCTCACTAATTCCAGAGTCAACTCTGCACTGCATGCTTAACGAAGAAATAAATAGTGTTTCACTCTTTTGGTAAGGGAGATAAATAAGAATTTAACTTGTATAAATATAATTTAAAATGTGTATCTTACTTTATATGAGTGAGAATTATTAAAATACACAAACGTCAAGAACAAAAGATAAAATAGAGATAGTAAATGTTTGATCCTTTAGGAAACATTCCCCAAAAGTCTCTGTTATTTCATCAAACTTCTGCGCCATAGGTTTCAGATGATTCAATTCTCCAAATATTTATTTTTGTGTATATTTAAACATCATACAGTATCTACTGAACATAGTTAGGTTTTAATGATTGCAATTCATCTTTTTTTTTTTCAATCATTTACTCCCTACTTAATTCCCCAAATTCTATTCAAAGTATTGGAATGTCTAGCTAGTTCATAAGACATGAAAGCAGTCAGACTGAAATGTCACAGTGTGACCCAAGAACAATCCGTTCCTGCCTCTTCTTCAATTTGTGTTCTGCGGCTCCCCCAATTGCAAATATGGGTATTTTGCATAAAGATGTGTATGATACTGTTAGATATGCTCCAAACATCCTTGAAATACCTTTTTTATAGGCAGGAGCCTCTACCCTAGGTGAGATTTTTTTTTTAGTTACAATTTAATGATCATGAGCTCTCTCCTGCTATATCTTTTTCATAATCCCTTGGCACAAAGTTTGCCCTCCAAAGCAAAAAATTCGATAAAAGGTCTTCAGAGTGCTTCTCAAATCATCTAAGCAAAAAGGACCTCCCATACATACGTCTGAAGTTTACAAAAACATCTTCTACTAGAGTCTCTTCGAATCAGTTCTGTACACAGCATATGCTAAATCACGTATGGCAGGTAAGTTTCCATTTCTTATGCCATCACTAGCAGATTGGTGGTGGGCCCTTGAAGGAAGGAATGATGTTGTGGATTAGCAATATCTGTAATGAGAATAGCAAGACAGGAAAGGATAGATGATGTATCTCCCACTCCCCCCATTTGCATCTGAATTTATGCTAATCCTTCTTACCTATGCCCATTCCTACCCCATCTCCCATGAAAGAGATGCACCAAATGACTGCAGATTTTTTGACTTTACATCCTGCTAGAGCTGTAGGTGCAATACCGCCACCTCCCTTGTAGGTTTACCATAGGTTTATCTAAGATAAATACAAAAGGTTTAGCATAATCCCCTGCACGTAGTTTATACTGGATCAATGTTTTTCATGTTATTGACACTACTCTCCATTTTATTGTCATGCATGGGTTCAACTTAAGCAAAGAAGTTGATTTGGGTTGGGTGTTTGTGAACAGAGTAAGACAGAGGATACGGAAGTATTTGATTATTTAAACGTCATAGAAGCTATTATAGATCCCCTTGGTAGTTGCAGAAGTAGTAAACTAATCCACATAAAATAGAAAATAAATTAAGTGGCTATAAGCTCCCATCAGAAGTAACTGTGAAGAATTTTCCATCTCCTGCTTTTTGCACCTACTTCCTGAACACCCAGGGATGAGTGGTCAGTGGCTAGACTAAATATACCAGAGAAGTTTTACCTTAATCTTTGATTGAAATGTGGTGGCTTCCTTCTTTAGTACATTAAGGGATGGGGTGAGGTGTTAAGGAGTGATCAGCGCTGGAAAGGAAGAGATGGTGTAATCCAGTGGTCAGGAACACACACTCTCTGCCACAGCACTTATGAGCTCTGGGACCTTGGAAAAATTATGTAACTTCTCGCCATTTCTGTGTCCTTATTTGTACCATAATAAAAAGAATTCACTGAAAGAACTTTGCACATTGGCTGGCACCGCGATAGGTGCTTATGAAATGTTAGTTGTTGAGGCTGTTGATAGAGTGAGAAATGGAAAGAAAGGGGGAAAGAAAAGAAGAAAGGAAAGAAGGAGGGCAGCTCTACCTGGCGTTGCTCCCTCCGTCATCATTTTAGGAGGCTGGCTGGCTTGATTCCTGGGTTTGTTGACTCAGGACTCAGAGACAGCTATTCTAGGGAGGAGGGGAGAGGCAGTATTGCAGAGCAGGGAGAAGTTGTAAAAAAAGGAAGCTCCCAGGAGAGAGCCTTAATTTGAATTATAGGAAAGCTCTTATCATTATTATGGATGGAAGAGAGGAGAGACATTAGTATTTGCCTACGCTTAAAATACCACAGCAATTTACACATTAGCTCAGAGATCTGAGAGTGGACAAGGGCTCTGCAAAAGAAATGATTCCTTCAAGCTCGTTTAAAAAACAAGTGTCCCACTAACCACCACAGAGAAATATAGGGATCATCTGGACAGAACTGAACACTTTCTAATAAATACAGTTTTTATAAAGTAACGGGGATCTCAGGCATTGTTCTCTAAAAGTGAATGTGCAGATTTGTAAAACAGCAGACCCGGTCCTCCAACCTTCCTACACAAATCTCATCTCAGAAAAACACAAGAAAAATGATCAAATGCAAAAACACATTTTGTCAAAATCCAAAGAGTGTAAAGTAACCCTTTAAAAACAGCAAGGGAAAAATCTAAAATCAGAAAGTACTGATTTTTTCAAAAAAATTATTTTAAAATCTTTCTTAAGGCCAGCCCTTGGCAAGGGCTAAAAATTTTGATTTAGGGTTTAAAGCTGACTGGTCTGTCATCTAGGCCAAAAAGAGAGACCTTTGGACTTTCTTTAACAATCTGGGACTGATGGACACTTCATAAAAATTTCTAGCACCACTCTTTGAAGTCCAGGTGACTGTGCATCTTATAAGACCCCAAAGGAAATTGTAAACAGGATCTCCAAAATGATGTGAGCCCAGGCAAAACCTCATCTAAAGGACGGTCTCTTCCTCAAGAGAATGTATTTCATTTATATTCTTTTAGGGATATTTTTCAAAAATGTTCAGGTTGGAAAATAAAAGAGATGAAAGTCAGAAAAAAATAAAAGAAAACTAATACTTCTTTATGGTTTGTTTGGCTATAAGAAAAAGTTTTAATCCATAGTTAGAATATTCAGGTAAGAACTGACTTCTATCAAAGTTTGAATTGCATGTATATAGTTTAGAGTTAATCACACTTTAGACAATTTAGACTGCCAGCAGATCTTCTGAAATCTCTGCAGCATATCACATTTAGATTACCAGCAGATCTTTTAAAATCCCTGTCAGCACTGGCAAAAATATGATCAGAGACGAAGACAAATTATTAACACAGATAGACAATTTTGAGAAGGGTATGCTGTTCTTCCAGCTGCTAAAATTTCTCCTAATTTTTACTTCTTAGCAACTGACACTTTTACACTAATTCACTACTGCGAGAAAAAGAATTTATACTTGATTCTTAGCCCTCACATTTGATATCTTCAAAATGTACTTGTTTTTTCAACTTAAGTGTCCATCAATAGATGAATAGATAAGGAAGATATATACAGATACACACACACACACACACAAAATGAAATAAATCAGAAAGAGAAAGACACAAAAGACTCAGAATTGCCAAAGCAACATTGAAGGAAAAGAACGAAGCTGGAGGAATAACCCTCCCAGACTTCAGACAATACTACAGAGCTACAGTAATTAAAACAGCAAGGTATTGGCACAAAAACAGACATATGGATAAATGGAACAGAATAGAGAGCCCAAAAATAAACCCACACACTATGGTCAATCTTCAACAAACAGGGTAATAATATACAATGGGGAAAAGATGGTCTCTTCAATAAGTGGTGTTGGTTAGGAAAGCTGGACAGCCACATGTAAATTAATGAAGTTAGAACATCTCCTCACACGAGACACAAAAATAAACTCAAAAAGGCTTAAAGACTTAAATATAAGACAGGATACCATAAACTCCTAGAAGAGAACACAGGCAAAACATTCTCTGACCTAAATCATAGCAATGATTTCCTGGGTCAGTCTCCCAAGGCAATA